GCCAGCCTCACTACTTTACCAATAGTTCTGCCTCGCGGTTTATCTTTATGCAGTTCTCCCTGAAGCATTACCGCAAGAATTAATGTAAGAATTTTTGCAGCAACCAAAAATCAGTATATTTGTCAAACAAAAAACAGCTTATTATTAGCAAGACTGACCAGTTTAATTCTTACGCATTACTTGTTTTTGTAATTTAAAACCCGGACATTTAAGCTTCTGTTTGGTAAGATACTGGCCACTAGTGAACATCTTGTCTTAAATAGTAGCAGGGAAATAAATGACTATTTGGGCAACTTCTGCAGTCGTGCTTCATGTACATCGAATAGAAGGTGAGTGACAACCGGAGTTATGCAGCTTAGGACTAATCGGCGTAGAACAGCTGTGCCCGACGTGTGGAGATACCACAGCAAGATCGCTAACACGGAATCCTCATGCCGGCTGTTTAGGGGGTCTTGGTTTCCTCGTTAATGAAATAAGGTTTAGATGCGTTTTTTGATTCAGCAAGCGCTTTATAATTTAGAACTGAATTTCCAGAGTGTTTTTTTTTCCGCCGGCACATTTGATACTCCTTCCCTCCCTTTTCCTTTCTTTCACTCCTCTCTTCCTTTCACTTCCTACAGTTGTTTTTGAGTTTCTTCATAGAAATAATCGGAGTAATCATCTGCTATCTACCCATAATTATCTCGTGCAACAGCTTTCTGAATTTCAACTAACTTGAGTAATGAACCAAAAAACTTTTAACTGAGAGCATCAGAGCGCCTGAAATTTCCTCTCAGGAGTACGGTGATTAACCCACTTTCAACTCAGTAACCAGGAAAGCTGGGAAGCGTGGTCTTAATTCTGCTTGGCAGTGAAATCCCCTGCAGGTGGATGTGAGAAATACTCAATTTTACCAAAAACTCAGAAACGAGTTATTTTGCAGCGAATGACCGCGCCCATCTTCTCCCGATATCCATATTTGGATTTTTTGACGAACGACCGCTCTAACAACATTTCCGCTTTTCAGTGAAGAACTGGAACTGGATGATGG